GAGTATGAAAAACTAGTACCATCCTACTATGCTCAACCTGATCTGCCAAAACTGACTTATGATCCAAAACAAACTTACACTTTTGTTGTTTTTGACACTGAGACTACCTGCACCGGGAAAAATGCAGAACTCTGTCAGCTGTCCGCCATTCATGAAAATCAAGTGTTTTCAAAGTACATTCTACCAACAGGAAATGTGAGTACTGGAGCTTCACGAGTGAACAAACTATCTGTTCAAAATATCAATGGAATCAGAAAATTATTGAAAGAAAACCAACCAGTGGAAACTGTCTCTCTTGATAAAGCGCTTCAGGAGTTTCACACCTTTCTTAGTCAAGTAAAATGTTCATCCCAGAAGGAAACTTGTATAGTTCTAATAGGTCATAATTCATCAACATTTGACACTCCAATACTTCTCCGGAGAAGCGACGAAAATTTTCGCAGCAAACTAAGCAACCTGAATGTTTATTTTGGCGACAGTCAAATCCTTGTCAAACATCTTTTGAAAGATAAACACCCGGCATTGCAACTCAGTGAATCGGCATCTTGCAAATCAAACCAATCAGCACTTTACTCACATCTCTTTAATGAAGAATTTGAAGCCCACGATGCCTTGGAGGACGTTAAGGCACTTGAAAAAATTCTGTTTCATTCTACACTTCAACTGAACAAGGAAAAACTCGTGAATTGTTCTGGAGTTATTGGTGTTGAACAAGCAATTGCCAGCATGACGTATTTGGATCGACGCCATGAAATTCTTCAGACATTCAGCGGAAGACTTTTCGACCCCAGGGACGACAGTGGTGCAATAAAACAATCAATGGCTCAGAAGATTGCAGGAAGTGGGCTTTCCTATTCACATCTCAAAGAGTTATATTTAAAGTTCGGAACAAAGGGGCTGCTTGCGATCCTCAGCATGCCTCCTTCCCAAAACACAGCGAGGAAACCTCGTGTCACTCGAACAAAGCGTATTCTCGATGCCATTGCAAACCACTTTCAGGAAACATTTCCGAAAGAAGAATAGTTCCTTTGGTTCCATTGTTGGTAAATTGTAACTTCATGTGTTTCCATTTAACCACATTTAAACTGCAGAAACTGGCCAGCACGTGTTGTGCCTCTGGAGGTGCTTGATGACAATGTACGTACCTCGCGTAACATTAGCCAGATTTAAATGACCGAAATTCTCCAAAACGTAGCAACGAAGCAAGGTTGTTAACGGCACTTGAAAAATAATTTACAGGTCCACTTGAACGACTAATTAAGCTGATGAAATCGACCGAAAATCGAGCGAGTGACTCTTCGAAACAAATCAAGGTTTTGACCAGCGGACAACGTATGCGCATGCGAAAAGCGGGATCTTGTAAAGGCCAGATTTTGGAAACGCGCGAGACGCGCGTGGATTTTCTTTAGACGCGAAGTGAATTATTTAAAAAACAAGTCCGGTGACCCCACTATTTTATTTTAAAATTGGGTAGTGTGGACTAAGAGAAAAGTACTGGTAAAATTTAAAAAAATTCTCTGGACCGGATTTATAGCCACTCAAAAATTACGGTTTTTAGCAATTACATAAAATCTGCTCCAGAGATTTTTTTTAAACTCTCTATAATTGCTTCCACTTCCATGTAAAATTGGATAAAATTAAGAAAAATAGGGGTCACCGAGTTAATTTTTGCGCCATTAGCGTTAGATGCTCCATGATGGCTCTTATTTACAACCATATGCTGTTGCTATGGTAACAGCTGATGACGCCACGTGATTATGTTTTGGTTCACTGATGATTGAGCTAGTAACTGTTACCAAGAAAGTGTAAGAAAAATTATTATTTTGTTTTATTGAATCCCTCAAATGTAAAAGTGCTAGAAAACCTAAAAACTATTGTGAGCCACCTTAAATAGTCTGGTGCATTATCATTTAAGACAGTTAAATACAATGAGTAAAATCTTGAATATAGATCTATAATAGACAGGTAACCAAAGGAGTTCCTGTAACAATGGTGTAATATCATGATGGTCGTATTTACGTCCTTGGCACCCCACTCTGGCTGCAGTATTCTGGACATATTATTGCAACCTCTGTGACTGATACTTAGGCAAGCCAAATAACAGTGAGTTAAGACCGAGGTCATGCAACAGCCAGCACCTGCAACGGCCTACACCGAACCCATCATCACCGTCAACGGTCAGAGACTCGCTGTAGCAGACAAGTTCGTCTATCTTGGTAGCACTCTGTCGCGCTTTGTCAACATCGACGCGGAGGTGGCCTACCGAATAGCCAAAGCCAGTGCTGCCTTTGGCAGACTGAAAGACAAAGTCTGGGAGCGCCGGGGCCTAAAGTTCGGAACCAAACTGTCTGTGTACAGGGCCGTTGTTCTCCCAACCCTGCTCTATGCATGCGAGACATGGACTGTCTACAGCCGGCACGCCAAACAACTCAACGCCTTCTACATGAGATGCCTGAGGACATTGCTTCGCATCAGGTGGCAGGACAAAATACCAGACACTGACGTCCTCCAGCGTGCTGAGTCAGAGAGCATCCACGCCATTCTTTTGCGCTGTCAGCTCCGGTGGGCAGGCCACGTCCGACGAATGGACGACAGCCGACTCCCAAAAAGACTGCTCTTTGGTGAACTTACAACAGGACAGCGCCCACTCGGTCGGCCAAAAAAAACGATACAAAGACTCTCTGAAAGAGTCTCTTAAGCGCTGTGACATTCCCTGCTCCACATGGGAAGCGATTGCTGAAGACCGTCCTGCATGGCGCTCGCTTGTGAGAGCAGGAGTGCTGGCATTCGAGGTCAACTGCATCTGTAAGAAAGATCAGAGTCGCCAGAGAAGAAAGGAAAGGAATTCAAACCCTCAACCTGGTCCAGTCCCCAGCATCCCCTGCCCGCATTGCGTCAGACACTTCCGCGCGAAGATTGGACTTATCAGCCATCTTCGCACCCATCCCGCCCCCCAGTGATTCGAAGTCATGGTCTTCTTCGCCAGCGAAGGACGAACATCATCATCATCACAATAGTCCAATTTAGATGTAACAAACGGATGAACTATAGCACAGGCAGCCCAAGCTCACTACTAGAAAAGCGGACGTGACTCTTACCGTGTTGCGCAACGTTTTATATTTATAAAGGTTTGTATGGGATGTTATCGGTTTGCCTTAAAAGAGAGAAAAAATGTCTTGTTTTGAAATGAAATGGACTTACCTTCAACTGCTAACAGAAAGTCTTTCTTTTAGCAGTTGAACACCAACATAGCGCTAACTCGCCGAAAACGCTTCAAAATGGCCTGAGACGCTAGGAATCAACAAAGAAAACAACAACAGTCATGTCTCACGTCTTGTTTTGAGACGCTTACAGGATAAATTTTTGGAAAAGAAGAATAACAACGGTTCAAGTCTCGTTTCGTGAAAAAAGCCAGTCATTTCGCAATTTCCATGAAGGAAAGGCGATTCAACGTTCACGGCAATATAACCAAATCACGTTTAACGAGAGAAAAAACCAGCCAAAGGGTCCTTCGCGATCACGAAAAAACCCTTTTCCCCCACAAAAATAACAGTAATTTATTATTAGCAGTGGTGCTATTATATGAGCTCTTAACCATTAATTAATCTGTATTACTTACACCCACGACTTTTACCCACACCCACGACCTGTATCCACAACCCACGACCATTAGTCAAACTCCACCCAAGCACACCGGCGTCTTTGATGATTTTTGGAATTTTGAAAATTTTTTGAAACTGCAAAAATTGGATCGCATTAGAAAATGCTTGTGTTGACAGATTTTAATCCCTATAGTAAACAATTCTCAACAATATCGGTCGTAATGCGACCCGGGCCACATGCAGAATAAATTAGAAAAGTCAATGTCTCTGACCACAAAACTGAATCTCTATAAGATATGGAATGCTTTTTGGTATTCGCTTTGAAAGATGGGATTTCCAACTTAAGACTGTTCCTTAAATTATATGAGATTTGCGATTGCACAATATGTGCTATCATACACGATGGTAAATCATTGTGGTACATCTTATAAGTTAGTTTCAGGATAGATTGTTTAGAAAGTTCTTAGAGTGTCCCATTTAGCCCTGGTGAGGACTTCCGCTGACTGTATATCCTTAGCGAAATTGTAAATGACTCTTGCTGCCCTGCAGTGTAATCTTTCAAGTGAATCGAGGTCGTCTTGTCGGTTAGTACCTCCCCGATATGGATATGCCGTACGTTACTGCAGGGATTATGAAAGTACAGGTTTAAGAGATCCTGTTTAGATAAGAATCTGCTCTTCTTTTTATTGTACTGAGCAAAAGAGGCTCCATAAAGGAACAGAACACTTGTTCACAAGCCGTACAGTTGACAACACTTTCTGACTGTTTCCTCATGTGATGTATTACTTGCACCAAAGTATAAGGAGATTTGTAGAAAAGACAATCCTTCCTAAAGAATGAAGTTTTTATCTTTATTCTGCAACACAACGGTCTAACGATTTTTTTTCGTTCTTGAACTCGCACACCATATGTTAGGAATAAATTTATTTTTTGAACGAAAACGGCATCTAATTATAATGACCTAACAAAGGACGTTACATCTAGAGAATAAGCTTATTATGTAAAATTAAACGTATGTTACAACAAACTCAGTGGTTTATGCTTGGCATGTTACCACGTAACTGTTTGTTTTTTCTTCAATGTAAAAAATTCTACAAGGTTTGGTTAGTTTTTCTAAGCAGAATTTTTGCAAGGGAAATGCAAATTTTTCAATAGGAATTTCCCAACATGAAGACCAGAAAGCATTAGTGCTACTTGATGTTGTGGAGAAAGGGGCTTTTAAAAATGTGGTGGTTATCAAAACTATTGGGGGGAATTGGGGGATCAACGGGGTGGAGAGTAAACATGAGGGGTTGGGTATGAGGCTGACCAGGCTGGATATCTCGCAACGCCTTGTGGTACGTAATACGTCACTCCTCTTCAGAGAGGACTAAGGCACATGTTATTTCGCCGGCGACATATTTTACGCTTGATTTTCGATCTTTTTTTTTTCTCCTGTGCTTCGACTTTCGTATAACTTTCGATGGATAAGATTAAGGAGTACAGAATAACTTTGCCCATATCTGTTGAAGAATACAAAATTGGTCAGCTGTACTCCGTTGCAGAAGCAAGTAAAAACGAAACGGGAGGAGGGGAAGGAATCGAAGTACTCACGAACGAACCGTACGAAAACCACGAAAAGTATGGCAGCGGACAATACACTCATAAAGTGTTCCATTTATCTTCAAAGGTTCCAAGTTTTGTTCGATATTTGGCACCTAATGGTTCATTAGAAGTGCACGAAAAGGCGTGGAACGCTTATCCGTTTTGCAGGACGGAGTATTCAAACCCGTACATGAAGGAAAATTTCCACATCAAGATCGATACATGGCATAAGGAGGGAGAAGGCGAGGAAAATGTGCACAATTTAACAGCGGAAGAGCTGAAGAGAAGAGAAGTGATAGATATTAACATAGCTGATAACAGTAAAGTTTCTACTTCGGACTACAAGAGAGATGAGGACCCAACTATATTTCAGTCAAAGGAAACTGGGCGAGGTCATCTTGATGAAGGAGGCAAGTGGAAGAAAAACGAGAATTGGCCTAAAATGACGTGCTACAAGCTATACCGAGTACAGTTTAAATGGTGGGGCCTACAGACCCAGGTTGAAAAATTTATCATAAAGGCTGTAACGCGACTCCTCACCAACTTTCACCGGCAGTTGTTCTGTTGGTTGGATAAGTGGTTTGGTATGACCATAGAAGACATACGGAGGCTTGAAGATGAGACCAAAGAAGAACTAGTTAAGTTACGAAGTGAAGGAGAAGCACGTGGAATGAGTGAGAAATGAATAACTAACTAAACAAGGCACATTATGATTCGACTGAACTAGAATGTTAACCTATTAGAGTAGATATAGGAAACTCGTACAAATTACAAGACGAGAGCTGTTTTTATAGTGGGCTTTCACCGGTTAGAAGTCCCCATGACAAGGTTTTAACGATTTTTTTTTTCCATCGGTAACCATTGCTTTGCTCGTAAAATTCTTCTTCAATGCTGTTATTCAGGTAGCCACGCTGCTCATGTTAATTTGTAGATATAACAATGTCGACAATACTTGATACGTTGGTATTGACATGGGGTGCTTAAAAAAGTCCGTCTGTGCATTTAAGTTAATTTTCGAGATGTATTTATCTAGGATTAGAACATCGATTACCACAAAAATTTTCCTTTGTGGTGTATGGTTAGAACTATTCATACATCAGTCGAGTTTCTGAATCAGCATGATGCCCTCAATATGAAAGTGTCTGTTTCTGATAATTAAAAAAAAAATTGCAACACTGTACTTAGTTATCAGGGGTAAGTTGTTGTTGTTGTTGTTTTTTTTTTCATGACTTTGCATTGTCTGTGCCTTGTTTATCATAGTGCAGTTGAAGGATTAATGTTTTCAACTGAACCCTTCAGAAACTCTAATTTTGTTGACTCTTTAAATTGTCTTTCATATGTTAACTGGAACATTGTAGTATGCTTCATCTTGAATTCAAGAAAAGATTCTGTTCAGGCTTCATGGTTTAGTTGGTTGTATCAAGTTTTTATCTTGGCATGGCAAGTCATGAACTGCTGTGATTGACATCCCATTAAGGATATTGGTACTCGTAAACAGTAAATGATTGTTGATGGGTAGACATCCAGAAAAACCCAAGGTCATGGTTTTACCATGTTAGGTGGAATGCATGTTATAAATACACATATAGCACAGCAGTGAATGGAGAAATAGTAGAATATTTGGATTCTTGCTAAAGTCCAAGTGAATATTCTATATTGAATGCTTCTGTTTAAGGGAGTGAACTCGGAAAGCTTTGATGTTCAGTTTTGGAGTCAGATATAATTCCAAAAGTGACTGAATTTGACACCTGAAGCACAACAAACAGTTGTCTCTCCTCTAGGTAGGCCTGCAGTAGAATCTTGTTGTAATATTGATACAGACCCTCTCTTGCATCTTACTTGCAAAAAAAAAAAAAAAAAAAAAAAAAAAAAAAAAAAAGAACTTTTTGTTTTTGATAGGGTTTACAGAATGTTTGTAATTTGATAAGTAATTGACAACATGCATTGAAGTACGATTCACTAGATGACTGTATAATGCTAGTATACTGAGATTAGCTACAAAGTGGAATATTCTTCTAAAATCACTCTTAGGATTTTAAGCACTACTGACATAAATAATTCAATAAACAATTCCAATGTGAGCATTATCTGGCTGAGTATGTTTGCTTCTTAAAGGTGTGTGTTTTGAGGCAATGACCTCACAAACTATGCAGCTTTTCACAAATCTAATTTTATATCTAAATTTAATACAAGTACGGGTTGTAAGACAAAATTGTTGAAAAGTAAAAATCAGTCAGGATACTAACATACTGGAGAATTTAAGAGAATAGTGCTGTATTTTTCTGGATTTATAATTCATACTGTGGTCATGCATTTTAAATGCTAATGTAAACTTGTGGATTGGACACTCTGGTGGCGTGCAATTTTAATAGATTTTGGTGAGTTGCAGCAAGGAGTTGAAAACTGTTGGGAGGGTAAAATGCAGATGCTGCCAAATACTAAAATAAAATTTGTAAGAGATATTGTTTGCTATTTTTGAGCCCCAGTAGTTTTTCACCTGCTTTTTTTTCCTTTCTTACATTTCTCACAGCCATTCACTTTTGTTTGTGAATGAATTGTGTGGTTTACCGTTCCATATGAAGATCCTCTTTTAGCATATTTTCCATGTGTTCATTCTCTTCTGAAATTACTGAATGCCAGCAAGTTTGACCATGGACAAGGCTGAGAGTTTATGACAGTATTTGGGTTAGTTGCCAAATATGAATGCATTTCACACAAATAATTAGAAAACTTAACCCATCATGCATTCACCTTATACAGCACTTTAAGTGTCACGCACTCAAAAGGGTAAACTTAAAATCTCTCTTTTTGTGTGCAAGGATTCAGAAATTATAGAAAAAATTCAAGGGTAACGGGCAACTGTTGGATGATTGTTGACCATTTTTCAGCCAACAGTTGTTTGTTGGCCCATGCTATTGACAGTTTGTAAAAGTATTTGTAAAATTTTCCAACCCAACAAATTGGCTACCTTTCACTGAGTCGTCCATACCCTGTTATTTAACTTTATTTTTCTTTTATACTTTACTACTTTCAGAGTTTGAATGGGTCATGCAAAACCTAGACATCCATGAAATTCCACAACACCATTTTCTAAGCCTGGAAAGTCATGGAATTGGAATGTTATGGATAATTACATACCAAAAATAAGATTTTTTGAAAACAATAAGGAAATAAGGCCCATATCACAAGACTGTTCTAAAAAAAAAACTTGAAAAGGTCAGTGGAAGTCAAGAGTGTGATGATTCCTCAGGAGTGTGAACCTTAGTTTAGTTTTCCTCAATTTGTGGATGAAATCTCAGTTATTCTAGAACTTTCCACAAACACAAAGAGAGCATAATTAATCAAAAGGGAAAGAACAATCCTACCACACTTTGAAAATTTCAATTTATGTCAGTTTTATTGCAGGTGCTCAGTGTTAAAGTTAAAAGTGTTTGAAAAGTGACAACTCATCTCTTCTTATCTATGAACAACTAATTTAAACGATTAAACAGTTTATTACTTATTTACTTTCGATGCTCTAAGTTACATAAAACCAGACCTAACATTGACATCACTTGTCCTTCTTTTCGGAAGCTATTCCATTGTGAAGCTCCTGGACATCTTTTTCCATGATATCCATGAGCAATGTCCCTTCTTCATCAAACCATGAAGCCACTGATCTGAAATAAATCAGATAAATTTTCTTGATGGAATGAATTTTGCTATTACAGGAAGTTGTAGCATAACACATTTGAATAATCCAGTCAGGTATGTCCTCACAAAGTTAAATACTGTACCAAATGTGACATGATCTAAAGAGGAAATTCTCCTAACTGATTACTAAATGCATTTCTCTGTCAGTGAGTCTATAGTTTTCTTAATTTTCATTATCTGTCTGCTTGTCGGTACTTTAATGTATTAATGGTCACTTATAGTTAGAATTCATACTTAGTAATGGTCTGTTCTCTTTCCTTTTTAGAGTCACCATCCTTGTAAATGATTGTAAGAGAGTAGTTCTGGTCATAACGCTTCAGAGTTGAATGCAAACGCCAGTAATTATCAGGACCCTATAAACACATAATGATTGACAAGAAATTACAACTTATATTATGGTCAGGCTCCAGTACTTACTTACTCACTTACATACTTACTTGTCAACTTTTCACGGAAATATATTAACTCCTTGTGCAGAAATGTATTCAACCAAACTTTCCAGGCTCAAAACAAAGGGGTTATACAACAAATGATTCACAAGAATTTGGAAAAGCTCTTAAAAAAAACTTCTCTAACACAACTTAAATCAGATTTTTGAAAACTTTTTTTACCCTGTAGTGGTCATTCAAGAAAGGAAAAAGAATGTTCTGAGAAGTTACCAGTTGTGTTCGGGCACTTTGAAAACCTTTTTTAAAAGTGAGAAATTGTCCTTAAAGAACCCAAAAACCTTTTAGAGCCAATTCAAGGAGTTTTAAAACTTCCATGGGAAACATGTTGCATTTTGACTGAGGACTAGACCTGAGTATGATCTTAGTCTTCTTACCATATTATAATTCTCCTGCTGTATTTAGATCACTTCACTGCTCTAGAAGCACAAACCAAAAGCTCTTGGATTTACATCAATAACTGTCCGATGGTGTCTGCATTTATACCATACAATAATGAATACACTTACCACCCCAGCTTCATCTTTCTGTACAGCAAACATGATGTAGTTCTTTTCAAAGAAGGTGGTAAAGATGGTTAACACAGTCATCAAAGTAAAATATCTTTTGATTGTCAAGTAAACTGTTCTTCATTGATAACTTTGAGTAATTTATGCATATTATCAATAAAAGTTTGGAAGATACCAGCTTCAACACTTCCTATCGTTGCAAATGTAGATTAAGTACATTGCACCCTTAATCCTTCTAAAAGCTTTCAGTCAGAATGTACGAGTACGAGTAAAATGTGGACACGTCAAAGTAAGAGAGAGCAGAAGTGAAAGCTATCCCTCTTCTCAGTACCATGTTTATTTTTCCTTCTATTATCTGTGCAAGATTTTCTAGCTTATTACCAATGAGCAGGCAGCAAAGAATCACTATCACTTATTATTTCATCCCCTCTAAAACTCACATGGTGTCTAAATATTAGATGCAGTTTTTGTATTCTTGTTTCACCTTAAAGGGGTTAATATGACCTATTTTTCTGAGGATACGATAGCACACATGTGATCAGTATTGGCCTCGACAATGGGAAAGGGTAAAGGTAGTCAAATATCAAGGCAGTCAGGGCAAAGCAGCAAGAAATGGTACAAATAGCCAAGCGAATGTCTGTCATTGAAAAGTCTTCAACATAGCCAAAGCCTTCAGTCAGCACCTGTAATACAAAAACAATACAATATTTACCAGTTTGAAACATATCTTCATCTCTGCCAATAAACTGAACTTATATTTTTGTCTTGCTCTAGTGATCTCTTGGTCCTTTCTTTTTCATCAGTGTTATGGAAAACTTGACAAAAGGAAGAAGCAAATCAATGCTGTGGAAGGATTCAGCAGTTCCTTTGATGCATAACAATCTAATTAATTATTAGACATACATATACATACATACATTTTATTGTGTTTTGGGATAAAAGTACAGTAACATGCCCACGGATAGCTAAGCTAATCTAGGCCGGTCATGTTTACAGGAAATAGATACAACTAAATACAGCTAAAAGTAACTAGAGAACTAAAAAGATAGAATTGACAATGATTAGAGACTAATGATATTACTAATAATAATTAGTATAATTTCAGAGCTGAACAAAGAGTTTCCAGCAATCTGATTGGTCAAGCGGTTCCTTATATGACGCAATTATAAACCGCTCCGCGCGGTGCGGTTTATATAAAATGTTAAACTAAAATGTTAATAAATGTTACTAAAATGTTATGATTTTAGAAATTTCTCTGTTGTTCAGCTCTGAAATTATACTAAAACAATTATTCGCCTCAGGTTCGGTGAATATTGTCAAATAATCCCCTCCACTTCGTCTCGGGGATTATTCGACGATATTCACCTCGCCTTCAGCAAATAATTGTTAAATGACAACAGTCTTGACGGGAGATTACAGATGCATTAAAAGATATATTGAATACATATCAACTTATCAATCAAGAGGAAGATAAATTCAACTTAACTTTTTGAACGATTTCTGGAAGATCAATGTAACAGTCTTCTGAAGCTAGGATCTCAAAAAGTGTTTGTTTTATTTTCCTCTTGAAGACATTTCTTGAAAGTTTTCTAAAAGATACAGGCATTTCATTCCATATTTTTGTTCTGATTCTAGAAAATGAATTCACTTGAATTGAGAGTCTGGAACTTTGTACGTAAAAGTTATTGGAGGCAGAGGATCGAGTATTATAAGAATGAATAACAGAAATATCTCGAAAAAGATTTTGAATGTTTCCAGGAGCATTACTGTATCTTATTTCAAACATTAGCTTAGCTAAATGCTGATAATACAAAAATTTTAACAGTAAGACACCAGTGTCGATAAATAAAGGAATTGCATGCTGGTTTCGCTCTGAGAAATAGATAAAGCAAAGAGCTCGCTTTTGAAGCTTGAGAAGCTTTTTGAGGTACGATTTATATGCTTGACCCCAGGCCATCTGTGAATTCCAGAGAATCACAGGGTAGCGTCGCTTAGTAGTGGAAGGATAGCTAGTACATAGAGCTCCAAAACGAACGCACAAGCACCATGTGTAACAATCCCAAGTGTTTTAATTTTATATGATACAAAATGGAACGTAGCCAGGCAGCGATAAATAAGGTAGTTGCTGAATACTTGGTGTGATTGCAATAGCAAATGTGGTAGAATTATAATTATGTGTGTGTGGTTCGAACTAGAAGGTAACAGAAAACGAAACGAAGCTAATTAATTGACTTACAAACAATGACACAGCACAATGACCTATTCTTGAAATCAACTGAACTAATAATGAAGGAAACGATAAACTAAATCGAGCATAAACAATATAGGTAACTTACTTTGGTAGAGCTCCTAGCGTACTTGAAAAGCGCGGTGGCAGAGTAGACAAAACAATTTTAAACTGAGTAGGGAAGCGCACGACCTCTTGACAGCGATCAAAAAATGGTTCTCTCTTTGTTGCAAGCCCGTAATATGAGCGAATGACTGACATATATTTTCACACCAACATAAACATTTTCACACCAATTACAGTAATCGACAAAAATAAACGGTGACGTAGATAAACATTGACTACGCATAGACAATAGGCGGTTAAGCAATAAATAATCTAAAGTACAAAGAAAATAAATAGCATTTCAAAACTAACACCGTCAAACCATAGGTTAAAAAAGGAGCAACAATGGATCGATCAATAGTTAGAAGAGTATGTCTTGGCAGAAAATGCTGTAGTTTACAGATCAATCCTACAGTTCAACTCATTTTAATAGTTACGTGGTCAATATGACGTTTCCAGGAAAGGTTATTGTCAATTATTATACCTAAATATCTCACGAATTCTTTACATTCAAGAGCCACATTCTTATTTTCATCGTTGTCGAATACCCATTATTTTGGGGTGATAGGTAAGTTTTCTTTGATTCAGTCTAAAAATTACGAAATTTGTTTTTTTAATATTCAAGGTTAGTTTATTGGCAGTTAACCAATCAAACAACTCACAGAGTTTGATTTACAGTCAACTCAAGGGACTTGAGATTTTTGTCAGCATATACAGCGTTCGTGTCATCAGCAAATAAAATCAATTAAAGTTTTTCAGAAGATTCTTGGATATCATTGATATAGATTAAAAAGAGTATTGGGCCTAGGACAGAACCTTGTGGAACACGGCAGGTGGTTTTTTTTTCATTTAGATATAGAGGAACCAATTTGTTTCATTTGAGTTCGACCCTCTAAGTAAGATGAGAACCTTTTATTTATAACACCAGAAAAACCATAGTGATCTAGCTTGTGCAAAAGAATTTTATGATCAACTGTATCAAAGCCTTTTTCAGGTCAATAAATAGACCACATGAGAACAAGTGCTGGCCCATGTTTTCCTGGATGGTACTTACAATGTTGAGAATTGCATGTTGAGTTGAGTGCGCTTTGTGGAAGCCATATTGAGATGAAGAAAGTATGTCATTTTGCTCAATAAAAGATTCCATTCTAGAGAAGATCAATTTTTCGAAGATCCTATTAAAGTTAGATAGCAAAGAAATAGGCCTACAGTTGTTTGCGATAGTGTTATCTTCAGCTTTAAAAATAGAAATAATTTTTTCCATTTTTAGTTTAGTGGGATACATCCCAGTCGAAATAGAAAGATTTATTATTTCCATGAGAATACTGCTGATAACATTTGATGGGTACTTCAACAGTTGAGTGGGACATGAATATAAACCATGAGATTTATTAATTGGTATGCGCAAAATTTCCGATTCAACTTCAGCTGGGATAACTAGGTTGAAGGCAAATGAAGAGTTAGGAGAGTTAGATCTGTTTAGAAAATCAAAGTTATCAGCTATCTTGCATTCTAAATGCTTCCATTGACTACAGCTGTGTTTTGTCTTCAAACCTTCTCTTCATCTTGAGTTTGATTTGTTACTGATCATCTTAACAGCCATACTCCATTGCACAAGGACCACACAAAAAGAGGGGCCAAGGGGGTGCCCTGTTGGCTGTACCTTTTATCTTCATCTTTAACCCCCCTACTCAAATATCTGCTGTGTGGGCCCTGTTGCAAATATTATTTTTTTCCTTTTTTTCCACAGTTTAAGTAGTTCCTGTGACAGTTGATGTACATGTCTTCTGTGCTCCTTGATTAATAGGAAAACTCCACTAGAATTTCTATTCTATCCTTCCTATTAATGGTGTTGTTTCCTCATGTGGTGCATTAATTGCACCAAAATATGAAGAAGTTTGTGGACAAGACAGTCCTTCTTTTAAGAGTGAAGGTTTATTCTGCAACACAACCGTCTAAAAACTATGTACTCAAACACACAATGAGTAAATCTATTTCTTTCTTAAACAAGAACTGCATATAGTTATAATATGAACAAAGGATGTTGTACCTAAAAGGTAGATATCATGTTTTCACAAACTGTTTTCATGTGGAAGTGGATCAAATGGAAAAATATGTGCCAAAAGGGTTAGCTCTTCTTAGTTCTTTGACCAAGACATCTGACTCCCCAGTACCCCAGTGTTCAGCAGAAGATATCATTCTATAACTTTGAACACCACTTATACCAAGGTGAAGGTAAGTTTATTGATAGTGATCCTCATTGTCACACTATCATGGGCTGAGAGCCACTCTACATGAGATATTACCTTGACAACTATGGTAGCATGCCTTTTGCATAATAAGGTTATTTCCAAGGTACAACATCCTTTGTTCATATTATAACTATATGCAGTTCTCATTTAAAAAAGAAATAGATTTATTAATTGTGTGTTTGAGTAGTAAGTACACTGAATTGTGTGGTTAACAGGATTCTACTGTGAATGTGGTTAGGTTCAAATCATTAAGACTGGGAGAACCAAGCATAACAGAATCAAGGAAAGTGGACAAGCCATCAACCTTCCCTATACCCACACCCAGAACATGTAAGAGGATGCTCACAATACAGGATACTATGGTGAAGACACATTTATCAACTCACCACATCATGAGTCTAGCAATAACAATAAGTTTTCTTGTACTTCACCATGGATGTAATACATTTTTCACAACATTGATTGCATTATTTAAAATCAGTGATCTGGATCATCTGAAAACAGGACCTGAACAATCAATGAAAATCCATGATCAAAAAATCAATTGCACAAAAACACCCAAGGATTTACTTGAGTTCTTTCAATTGATTATCACCTTTAAGAAGGTAATTTTACCTAAAAAGAAGCCAGCCTTTCACAGTTTACACATAGCATTTACTAACATCTGAGTACCCACTTAAATCACTGTTTATTTTACCCTGCCAGCAGGGGTCCCTTCGATCTTGCTAGAAATGTTGGGAGAGGAAGGGACTCTCTTTCTCTCCCAACATTTCTAGGAAGATTGAAGGGACCTCTGCTTGTAGGGTATGTTTATTTTAGAGAGACCTCTGCTTGCAGGTATGTTTATTTTAGAGGGACCTCTGCTTGTAGGGTATGTTTATTTTAGAGGGAGCATAGTTAATGAATGTAGGCCAAGTAAAAACCAATGCCAGCAGGTAATTGATAACAAAAGATCATCCCAAAAACTTGTGCAATAGATTGCCCATCGATTACCAATATCAATCGATTAAATTGACATTGATTACCATCGATCGTCATCGATTGTTCAGGTCCTGTTAAAAAGAACGTCTCAATTTCTGTCTAACAAGAACATCCAACCACAATAAGGGAGAAAAAGGAAAGAATGACTGAGAAACAGTGATATCATTCACCAGACGATTCATATTTAAAAAAATAGGTACTTCATAATGAAGGGAAAGGTAGGAAGGTACATTCAAGAGAGGGTATATCTTAAACAAGCGAGTTAGAAGCCGGTTGACAATACTACACACAGCAGCCTTCAACCACAAACTACGTAAATCTTTTAAAATGTAAGATCGAGTGCTATATTAACTCGGCAGAGAGAGATAGATAGACACAAACATAACCTTTTTGGCCGCATCATCAAGTGCATTCTTCACAGCACTACAGTCCCATTTATCAATCTTTACTGGCTGATCATCGATATTCCACTACCATCGAGGGAAAAAGGGTAACATTAGTGTCAGATGGCTTAAAAATCGCTCTAAAATATTGCGAATATATTTTCAAGTTCTAACCTTTTCAAAGATTCCTGGTTTTCCACCTTTTTTCTTTGATCCACCAGACGCCATTTCGTTTCTTTGTTCAGTCATCGATAATGAAGCCGAGGAAAACTGGAAACTGGGGCCGTTCGGTCAGCGGACTCTCGAATTGCCCCATATTCCTTCCTTTTTCGGTGGTGCAACTATTAGAACGATCTGGCCAAGGCAAAAAAGTGTCTCTATTATCGACATTAACAGGACTCTATATCATTTCGAAATGGTAAAAAAGAAAGAGAAGAAGAGCACACAGAGTAAGAAGAAACTGGATCTCGCGGCTGCAGTAGAGGCTGCCGAACAGGAAGAAGAGGAAACCGATCTATCAAATTTGAACTTAAACGATGGTAATGATTCATTAGCTGCATCAGCGGGAAAAAGTGAAAATGGAAAATCGATTGTCACTGAAACTGGTAAACGAAATGATGGAGAACAAGAAACTGTCCTTATGAATTATAATCCACCTGAAGAGGGTCCTTCTACCGCGGATAAAGGTAAACTGATAAGCGTGCCAAGTAACTGGCTACACGCGATCAGTAAAAGTAATTGCATTAATGGGGTTAGAGATAATCCACAAGTTCTTAATTAGTTGAGATGACGATCAAAGATTGAATTTTAGAACAAAAAGGAGGAGTCTTACTGAAATCTGAAAAAGTTAGGTTTGTTTTTCAACTCTAAGGTCATTTTAAGGTTTTGGTCAATTTCTTAATTTCCATATGTTACAGCTATGTGATTGTATATATATATTTAAAGCCACAGGAGGGCAAGTAATTCATGGCAGTCTCCATACAGACTCCCTGTTACCCAGTCTCCATATAGACTCCCTGTTACCCAGTCTCCATATAGACTCCCTGTGTACCCTGTATACCTTGTGTACACAGGGGATATAATTTGCAGCTCGGACCAAGGACACTCCAAGAGAGCTGTCTCTTAGACTCCGTTGAGTCATTAATTTTGAACACGTGTGTTCTCCCAAGTTACAGAAATATATCAATATTGTATAATTTATATTAATCTGGTTTTTAATCAAGGGTAAACATAATTTTGAATTGCATTAATTCCACATTCCAACTTTGACATTTTGTTATGTCTTAAGTCATTTCGGGATACAATGATTCCCAACTGTAATTAAATTGTAACAAATAAAAAAAATGTAAATCATAAGTATCGTTAAATTATTCTCTTAATTTCTTCCTTTGTACCCCTATAAGAGCGTAGTTAATTGAAGTGGAATGGTTGGGGAACCATTTGTTGAATTTCTGTTGGCTTTTCTGTTGAATTTCTGTTGGCCTGTGTACCTTGTGTACCCTGTGTACCCTGTGTACCTTGTGTACACAGGGTACACAATTGAACGTTGTGCACGGTTAGGTCAAAAAAGTGGGAGAACACACGTGTTCAAAATTAATGACTCAACGGAGTCTAAGAGACAGCTCTCTTTGAGTGTCCATGGTCCGAGCAGCAAATTATATCCCCTGTGTACACAAGGTACACACGGTACACAGGGTACATATGGTACGCAGGGTACACAGGGTATACAGGGAGTCTATATGGAGACTGGGTAACAGGGAGTCTATATGGAGGCTGGGTAACAGGGAGTCTATATGGAGACTGCCATGAATTACTTGCCCACAGGAGCCTATCTTGTAGAGAAACTCATATGGGATTATTTGTTCATAAGGCAACCTACACTGAGGCAATGAAGGAGACAATAACAATGCGAACCGTTTGTGTAACTCTCAATTGACCTTCTGTAGAATTTGAATAACATTCATTCATTCCAAGTGGTAGTTTGTCTTCAGTTATGATTTACTCTATTTACAGAGGATTCTGTAGATGTGCAGCAACTTAGCAAGAAAGAGAAGAGAAAGCTTAAAAAGAAGGTACTAGTTTGTTTGTATTTAGTAATATATGTTTTATTTGATCCTATAGACTTAGGAACAGTTCTTGTAGTAACCCCCAAAAGAAGCAATAATCAACAGAAAGAGTAAAACTTTGTACAATTTTCTGGGAAATCCTGAAAGGAAATTTCTGTGGAAAGCAGTGACTTTCTGAACATTGCCAGCATGTGAATTTTTTCCCTTTTAATCAAGAAATGACAAAAGGGGCAAATATAAATGTAAATTTTGTCTATCCCTGAATATCCAAAGATCATACTTGCAGGCTGTAACTATTGAGGTTGAGTGTAACCAAGAAGATACTACCTTTCTATAATATTAAGAAATGATATTCTAGTCTTCTTGGATAGGGACGAATAAACCGTAGGCCCCATCTCCTGCAGGGTTAGGGGTAGGAGATATTAATTTCCCACTGACAAGATTACTGTGTGGTGGATGTCCTCCCCTGGGGTGGAATGGGTGGGTTTACTGGGCCGGCAGTAATTGGTACAAGCTGTTGTGGTGTCCCTGCTTGTCGGCGAATCTAATAAATTAAGTTAAATTAAATTATTATTATTGATAAAATAGACAGACAGACAGACAAAACAAACAAACATACATCTGGACTTGGCACAGCCTGTGAACATGTTTTACAGTCTTGCAGTTTGCCCAAGTAATTCATCTTCCAATAATAGCCATAGAAAATTGTGAACCCTGTTGGATCTTGGTCATGTGTATGGATAGTTTTATCAGTTATAAAAAGTTGTTTGGGATTTACATCATAGATGACTTTTCCTTGTAATTTACATTACAGGCAAAGTTTGAGAGTGAGACACAAGAAGTGGCAGGATCCCAGTTTTCTGTATCACAGCAAGAGTCTTCTGCCGCTAAAACTTCTCTTCTTGAAAATGCTCTAGACATCAAGGTAAATACTCAATCAGTATTTTGTACCATGGTCAAAATTTATTGAATTATGTGCTGTGGTTTGAAAAGAAAGGTTGAGATTACTTTTACTGTAGTCTGAGTTTTATAATTATGGCTTTTTGCAGTGGCCCATCTGTATATGAAAAGATGGCTGTCAGCAAGGCCAGTCTTATTGTTCCACATACCAGTTTAACAGTCCTCTCTGAGCTCTTCATTCATCAAAAATATAATTTGCATTTGTTTTTGTCACATTGTTTTCAAAATAATATAGGTTGAGAAGTTCAGTATTTCTGCCCGTGGTAAAGATCTCTTTGTTAATGCAAATCTTAACATCACTGCTGGTCGGCGTTATGGTTTAGTTGGACCAAATGGGTAAGAAAAAGTTAGTCCTTTTAGAACAAGTTTACCTCTGTGCCTGGTCCTAAATGTTTAAAGTTCATGTGTGAATCATGCTGACAATGATAACAAGAAATGCTGTGAGAGCTGAAATTACCTTGAAGGAAAGTTGTCTCATCTAAGGGTATGCTGTTAATAATTTAAACATTATTTGTATGCATCATGTTGGTTGCACGCTTTTTTCTTGGGCTCTGTTCCATCTTATGTTTTCTCGATCTTCCAGCATTATGGCTAAGGAATTTCGATCACCATCCAAGCCAGAAGAAAGATCACCAGATTCCTGACGGCTATATAAGGGTTTTATGATATAGCTCAATTGCTATGCGACTTTTTGCTGTGAGCCTCAAAGTGGCCTTCAAGTGTAACGAGGGTTAAACTAATTCAAACTTGAACCTTCCTATTAGCAAAATTACGAGACATGGTACCACCGTCTTGGCTCTTCCTAACCGAGTATTCTGGATGGACTTGACTCTCCATATGGATATAGAAGCCAACCCTGGTCCAGAGGAAGATGAAGTTGTGACAAGAAGATAAAGTTCACTGGAACCATATTTAAATTATTGCACCACTACAATAATATTTAAGGGATCAATTACTTAATCTCAGATCGAAATATCCGATCTCTCAAGACCTCTTGCGCCTGCTAAAGAACCAGAACATCTTCAAATGCAGAGGAAGCCGTGGTGGAGTTTCATTCCAAAACAAGATTTTTAATGTCCCTACGTGTTATAGGCCTAGGCAAGATTCCAGATTCAACCAAGTAGGTTCAAATTTAAATAATCTCAAATCATTGGAGCATTCAAATGTAAACAAAGCCAGATCGCCCATTCATCCACCAGAGATTATTGACTCAGACTGAATTCAAGATTCTCACAGACTTAAAGTTCTTCATCTAAATATTCGGTTACTCCGAAATTCTGAACACTTTATTCAACTTAAAGAACTGAATAAAAGAGGTAAATTCGATGTTATTACCATCTCTGAGTCCTGGCTGAACCACAAGCGTTTCATCACTGGAGGTGAACTTGGAAGGATACAAGCTCTTGGGACTTGATCGGCTCCACTGGGAGGAGGAGGCATTTGTGTCTATACTCGCAATGATTTGAAGGCTAAGGTTTTAAAAGACCTTTCATCAAATTCCGAGAGAAATTTCCACCAACTCTAGATAAGTCTTCAGTGGAAGAAAACAAAGTCAATTGTAGTGTGTACAACCTACCGACCAGATGACTGCCCCGTTAGTCCTTTTGAAGATACCCTGAAACCTACTTACATGCAAGCACTTATGCTTAACAAACCCATCATGATCCTAGGGGATTTAAATTGTGATCTAAGGAAAGTCTGCGTGGAGAGCAGAGCGCTAAATAATCTCTTGTCTGAAATGAATCTTCAACTACTCAGTAAGCATCCAACTAGAATTACAGCTACAACTAAGTCCCTGCTCGATCTTATTTTGGTGTCCTGCCCTCAGTCGGTACGTGGTTGCAGCGTGATCAACTTCTCCATCAGTGATCACCTGCCAGTTTTTGTAGAGCTTAAGGTGAAAGCACCCAAGCCTAATCACCCCACTACATAACAGCATGTAGTTATAAGAACTATGAGCCCGCCGCATTTACTGCTGATCTTGCTAACCAATCAGACCAGCTCTTGTCCATTTTTAGCTGCGGTAATGTGGATACCAAACTTAACACTCTTAATGATGTTGTTGGAAGTACATTGGACTTGCATGCTCCCGTCAGAACAACCAGGATTCGCCATCGCCCTTGTCCATTTGTATCAAAAGGCATTAAACAACTCATGAAAACAAGAGACCTACTTCACCGCAATTTTTTTTCAGTCTAATGACCCCTCGGATTGGAGTAAATATAAAGAATCC